GATGTCTGATTTCATTTTGTACAACTCTTATGTGATTTTGCCATTGTCATTAAGATGAATTGATTTTATTTATGAGGTCCATGATTTTAAGTATCTAAATGCTGTATGAAGTGACTTGTTTTGAAGGAATAAATGAACTGAAAATATTGTTGTCTGAGCATATTTTGGGGTGAATGCAGCGGGCCGGTGGACAGCCATGACACCCAAGTTGCATGTTTATTACCAAAAGCTGATAATAGTCCACTGCTTTGAGGAGGGTGCCAACATCTGCTGAATCTCACTCTGTGGGTGGAATCTTAATGACTTTGACCGGAGAAACTAAAATGTTTCTTCTTAACACCAGAGGGCATTTGAAATTTTCCTTCCTTGATTTCCCAAATTTTCTGGTATGCAATCAGCTCCTGAAAGTTGTTAATTCAGTGTCTGTTGCTGAGCAATTGTGGGAAGGCTAAAATGTTCCCTTTCCACTTGTCATAGACTGAGATCTACACTGCAGCATCCCTGTGGGAGAATTTATTTAATTGTTGACAATGTCAACATTTAAGCTTACTTCAAACAACACTGGAGTTATTAGAATTGAACTGAGCTCTAGGACCAGAGTTTAGACTTGAACCACTTCTCCGTTCCTTCTCATTGAAGCTTAAAAACTATGGAAATGGAACCATAATATAATCTAATCAATTTGTGGGAGATCAGGATACATCCAAAGAATAAGTCAGGACAAACCTCATTAAAAGGTTTGTAAAGAGTCTCATAAACTATGATGGCAGCTTGTGGAATAATTAACTGCACCCATAAAGCAATACTGCTTAAAGTGTGTTTCTCTTATTATCTGGTAACTTGTTAGAAATGCAAATTGTCAAAAAGATCAACAATCTGTTCTGATTCTGATGTATGATACGGTTTGAGAACCAGAAGTATAACCACAGTTAATTAACTTCCAGAAGACCTCTGATGGCTGATGTCAGTCCTTTGTCCTTGGTTTCATGCAATCCCTTTTCATCCACTACTTAAAGACAGTTACTAAGTTTACAGGTAATATAAATCCAGAAGGGACTGATAGTCCAACGAATGACCATTCAAAACTCTTCAACAGACTGAAAAAACCCTAAGATTGGATATTCATAAATGTGAAGCCCTGCCCCTAACTTCTAAATCTATTATGTGAGTCCAGCATGGGTAAAAACTGATTTTGTAGTTGATCTGATGAAGAAATAGCAATAATTTCTATCCCAGCAGGGCAATGTGACTGGGCCGCAGAAACAGTTGCATTTTAATAGTTAAAAGGTCTAGAAAAAAAAGGAAACACTAGTGTTCGTGTAAAATGCTTTAGTCACATTGCACTGGGGGTTTGGGTGAGGGTTTTACATGGAAAACCTAAGGAACAACTGAAGTTTGACAAAAGGAACTGGAGATCCTTACCTGGACGACAGATCGCAGGGTGATGTGACAGCTTCAAATTCGGGGAAGTATTATGTGGAAGATGTAGATTTATTCTTGAGGCTCTAGACGAAACAACTCGGACCAATAAGGAGTGAATATTGCAAAGCAAAATTTACCATAAAAACCTAACACAAATAGAAAGGGATGCTTTACCATGAAAGCTCAAGTACTGTGATCTAGCCTCCTGCCTTGTGAGAAATAGAGCTACAAGTCATTAGGTCCCTGACATCTTGGAAATTTTGTTTCAAGTGCTAGTTACATGAAACGAAACGGATACTTACAAAAAGAACTTCTTCCCTAGAGGAAAATCGATTTTTTGTTGTTGTTTCCTCATTACCCCTCCCATTAGTGTTTAGAAAGGAGTGTGGCTTGTACTCTTATTTAGTAATAACAGCAGAGCCTGCAAAGCAGGACTGACATATTTGGCAGTGGTATATGCCATGCTTCTTACATCTCTAAGCCTAAAACGAGAGGTTCAAGAATATAAAAGCAAGCACCTCAAATATTTCTTCTATTTAAAAAATTTGTTCGAACTTGGATTGCCTTTGTCTCTATTGTGTTTGTAGATTTTGAGGATATTTATCTGATGGGATCAAGTGCCAAGGCATCATAACATAGTTCCTTAGGCTCATTAAACTTAGGATTTCCCTATGTGTGAGTTAAAAGAAAATAATAATACTAAGTCAAGAATTCATGAGGAACAAGTTCTGAATGAATAGTCCTTTCTCTGCTTTAGTGACTGCCTCTCTCAACTGCTTCTCTGCCTTTGTGTCCTAAGATTTCCTTCTGTCCACCAACAGGGGTTTTCTGATCTTACTTGAGGGCATTTATTCAATTGAAGGGCTTCATTAGTGAATCTTAAGATACCAGAGCAGGTGTCACAACGACTTGGCCATGTTCTAAAATCCTGCAATTGAATAACTGCAGTAGGTTGAAAGCTAGGAGTTTGAAGTTTGAAGCTTCCTCAGCCGAAAGTCAATGCTGAAGTTAAATACAAAATACGGACAACATTTTTCCCGATAACCCCTTAATTGGCTCATAGAAGCACAACAGTACATCCAACACAGCTAGTGTTGAAAGAGTTTATGCTCACTCCTGCGGTGCAGCTCGGAGTTCCCCACCCACAGCAAGCAAGGGCGGTATACTGAGTACACTAGGTCCCCATCCATTGGTGGATCCTGGACTCCCAATTGCTGATTCTTCGCTTGTGTGAAGCTGTCAGAAGCACCCCTTAGTATCTCAGCCACCCATTCTGGGATAGAGAGATGTCTCCAGAGGAAAAGTCCCAAATGTTGGCTGTACTACACCTGACCTCTTTCCTCATCTTGACCCAGGCCTGGCGATTCTTTCTTCAAAGTCTTCATTGTATGTTTAGCTCCCCACTGCTTCAGCAAGGAGGGGTTGTTTGAATTACCTAGTCCGACGTTACCGGATATAGAAGTCCCCAGCAACATCTTTCACATGATAATCAAGAAACAGCTACTATAAAATTTATATCTAAAAAAAAGCGGGGGTCGGGTGGGAATAATCTTGGAAATATAAGGTAAGAAGCAAATGATTTAATAATATATTTTTTCCGTCATCAATGGTGGGAAGATAGTAAAAAATTTGTCCGCGTTTATTTTTAAAATTCCAGATGGAAAAGACTTTTTCAAGTAACCATGAATATTTCTAGCACAGTTCATTTCAGCTCTGTTGGGTATTCATATTGAATTAAGTAGAACATGTGTCCCTTATGGAATGAGAATAATTTTTTAGAGTCTATTATGTGGGATATTTCAGAAAATTATTCATCCTAATTGTGGATGGAACATCACACCTATTAGAATTCCAAACTTCTTTCTACTATGACTTTCACACCGGCAATTGATAAGTCTTTCTCTTTGGAATTTTACGGTCTTGAATTACTTCTTTCAGAGCTTGAATATTATGGAGTAAAATTAATGAAGTTTTTAAGCCAAAACAACTAAGGTACAGACTGAATTATGTTAACCTTCTGCCAAAATGACCCTTCCCATTGGATCCACCCTTTAGCATCTCGCCTTATTTTTCTTACTCTTAGTCTATAACAACGAAGACTGAGAAAATGATCTTGGATTTGGCTAGAAGCAGCCAAAGTCGTAATTTATCTGCGATTAATTGTTCATCAGTTTAATTTAACAAGCTTTTACTGAGCTTCTATTTCTTACAAAGTATGCTGTCAAATACCTTAGGATTTAACAAGGATAGTCATTCATTCAATAAGTATTTTTGAATGCTAAGTTTCAGGAACTGCCCTAGGTGCTGGGTTTATTTGGGTGGGGGTGGAGGGGTCCACAAACAGCGCTATAAAGAAATAGAAATACAGGTGCTATGAAGGGAATAACAGGGCAGGGAAATTCTAACTCAAAGTGGTGAATCTGGGAAAGTCTTTTGGCAAAAGTGACTATTTGAAACCTGAAGCATGAATAGTGGTTAGTCATTTGCAGAGTAAGAAGAGCATTCCAAGCGAGGGTATAGCATTTGCAAACCCTATATTGCAGGAGGAAAGGAAACCTCTTCCAGGCCAGTCTGGCCATAGCGTGATAAACAGGAAAAAAAAAAAAGGGGGGGGGGGGACTTGAGATGAAGACTTTAGAAGCAAGCAAGGATCCAGATTTGCATCATCTATGAGCTATATTAAGCACTTACCTGAATACCTACTTGCCCCATATTATTTGCTTGTTTATTTTATGAGTGTCCCCAAGTAGTTTGTCCAAGGGCAGAGACCAATTCTCCCTATTACCATTGTAGTCTCAGCACCTAGCAAAGTATTGGACACATAGTAGACATTCAATATATATTTGAATGAATGAACATATGAATGAATGAAATCAATGTATAACTTTAATAGGACATGAAAGTCTATTAAGGAAAACATCAGATTTATGTTTCTCCAAGTTATTTTAACTGCTCTTCGGAGAATGGGTTGAAAGGGGCAAGAATGGAAGTGGAGGACCAGTTAGAAACAGGCTACTGCAGTGACCTATTTAAGTGATGATGGTAATAATTATAATAGTATTTGTTGAGCACTTACAACGTTGTGAGCCTTTTTCGTATGTTAGCTTACATAGTCTTCACAGCAATTCTGAGATGCATAGTTATTATTAAGATTTATTGAAAGGCATAAAGTCTGAAGGACAAAGAGATGGTGGGATAAACAATAGCAACAAAATTTTGGAAGCCAGCCAGCAGTTGGATGAGTGGTAACTGACCTAGCAGATTTGAAAGAGCTGACCCTAAGCTAGCAACCCTATTTTTACCATGGAGTCCCCCGGCCCTCAAAAATTCAAGAATTGGTGGCATTAGTAACCCTGGAGACAGCGGTGGGAAAAAAATCAGGAAGGTGGGTAAAGAGTCTGGTTAATAAACAGTTAAGACCTCTCAGATCTTCTCTCCCACTCAGAGCAACTAAGAACTTGCTACATCCCCTCTGAGGAGAGGGTAAAATAGGGTTTCTCTGTACTAAAACTAAGGGGATGAAGTGTTGTTTTTACATACTAAATGCTGAGAGCAACAACCTTCCTCTGCCATGGGCTCCAAGAACGCTAGCTGCCAGAACTGTGCCCTTCAAGAAGGATTTTGGAAAACTCTTCTCTGAAGGATCTGCTCTGAGGATTTCAACCAGGCCATCAAAAAAGAGTAAAGATACAGGCATCAGAGATTTTCCAACCAAGTGGCCCTATGAGATTGCTCTGTGGCAAAGTCCATGGTCAACCAGCCCCAGCCACAGCTTCAAATGTATCTTTTTGTTGACAAATTGTTGAATTTGAGTGGATAGCCAAGAATCATCAGACATGTGAAAATATTCTTTAATAAGAAACAGAAAAGCCAAAACAAATAGGAAAAAAAAAAGTAACTCGGAGAAAACATTGTATAGAGGCAGAAAAACACTAACACTATATATGTTCTTAAAGTAATAAGACTCTGCATCAATGAAACTGGAAGAAATGTAATAAAAATTCAGAGAACAAACAATAATTATTGGAAGTTAAAAATACAATAGCAAAAAGAAAATGCAATAGGAATTTGTAAATAAATTTTAAAAATCTCTCAGTAGCAAAACAAAACAGAAGTTGAGGTCCAGGAGGGTATCCAATAACATCCAAATTATATAAGTTCCAAAAAGAAACAACAGAGAGAGAGAGAGAGAGAGAGAGAGAGAGAGAGAGAGAGAAAGTAGATGATAGGAATTCATCAAAGAAATAATTCAAAAAAAATATCCCAGAACTGAATGTCATGAGTTTCCAGATTGGATTTACTGAGTACCCAGAGTATAGATTCACTCCAACACACATCATTATGAAAATTCAGAATACTGGAAACAAAGAGAATGCCTTAGATTTAGAATCATAGATACTTTGGGCTTTGCAACAGCAGCACCAAAATCTATCAAATACTAATCTAGAATTCTATACCCTGACAAAGAATCAAATGAGAGGCTAGAATAGCAGTACTTCAGACATGTAAGATCTTATGCACTCTTTCTTGGGAAACGACTAGAGAATGTGTTTTATCAAACTGAGAGAGCTAACTCAGGAAAGAGGAAGATGTGAGATTCAAGTAACCCAACAAGAAAGAGGTGAAAGGACTTTTCCCAGTAGGACGATGAAGACACATATGAAAATGACAGCCATGCAACAGACTAGATAACAACATATCCAGATGGAAGCAAATCAGAATGTTCTGGAAAATGTTTCTCCAGGATGAAACTACTGCTACCTCTGAATGTATTGAGAGGAGATTTACACAGTAGGCAAGAGTAGATGGACAAAAAAGATAAATGGAAATGGAAAAGTAAACATAGCATATCTCAGAGCCCACCTGTCAATAGCACTTTATTTACATGCAGAAGCAGAGAATCAAATCAGACATTTTGGCTCCAGAGACGCCTAAGTGTCATATATTTGAATGCTGATGGGCATTATTTTAGTAGAAAGGTCAAAAAGATGATGTAAGAGAGAGGACTGCAAAGGTAGAGAGTCTATGAGATGTGATCCAGAGCATATGCGGACGGTGGGGTTTTATTGGAAAAACATTTTCTTTGTCGTCCCAAGAGAGAAGAAGAAAATGAGTACAAAGGAAAGCAGGTTTGTAAATGTGATGGGAACGGGAAGGCACAGTGTAACAGGATGTCAAAAGATAAGATTTAGAAAAAAATAATAAGCAAAATCGTGGCAATAGATGAGTTATCCATCAATACGATCTCAAAAAAAAAAAAGGAAGTTTAAAATTTAGGACATTTTTCTTAAGTAAAGCACTTCAGTTGCCAAAAAGTTCATCATCAGTTTGGCATTAATATATAACTACTATAAGTAAGACAATAGAAGAGTTATACACAGAAATATTCGATGTTCTTCATGAATTCAAATTTTACAGGGTGAGAAAGAGGACAGTTACACCCTAGTGGGTTCAATTCAGAGATGTACGCTCTGCATCAGATTACAGTGAAGCAGCACCTAACATCCCATTCCAAAAGAAGATGGTAGTTGAGTTGAATCTTGAAGGAAAAATAAGACTAAGCCAGGAGGACATCATGGGAATGGGTCCAAGCAGAGGGTACAACATGTGCAAAAGTCTCAGAAGCATGAATGCATGGCAGTTTCAGAAATATTAGATTGACTGTAATAAACAATATAGATGACTATGTGACAGGAAGAAGCACGTAGGGCCTGCTCACGAAGGTCTTTCTATGTCACATAGGGTCTTTGAATTTAATCCTGAGCACTATGAACTTGCAGCCAAGAATTGAGACGATCAACCACCCACATAATCTATAAACCCACCTGTAAAATGGAATATGTGAAACAAGACATTCCTGTCGTCTCTTCACATCTTCAGTGGTCCACAACCCTATAACTTGTGCAGTCCTGAAGCTGAATAGAGAGGAAGAAGAGCAGCAATGATCTCACAGGAGACAAGGGAGGATTGCTATGAAGCACGGAGCCTGGGTGAGAATAGGTATGGTGATGCAATTAGCTGGCATGGGGAAAGGGGAGAGAGGACATGTTGGTGGGGGCACGGAGAGCAAGATGAGCTCAATTTTGAACATGTTAAGATTTGACACTCTCTGATCCTAATAGGTGACTTCAGCCCTCAAACTTTCATTAGCACTGGAAGGAAAAGGACTGCCGAATCCTCCTAATTTCCATAGTAGGTGGGCCAAAGAGACACTGATCTCACAAAAGAAAAACAAATCTACCCCTAAGTATTACTTAATGATTAATTTCAGAATTTCTTCGTCCAAACCCACTTAATTACACCCTTTAGTTCCCCTCTAATGATTTTAGGCTTAACACTAATACCACTTTGGTGAGAACTGGGTGATCTATTTGATGTCTTAATATGGCCTATCAATTCCAATTTGGTCTTATAGCCAAATTATAATCACCTGCATCTGAACCTCTCCCCAGCCGTTTTCTCTTTAAAGCAAACTCTTGCTACTACTTGAGGAATAAAAGCTTCCCTCTCCCTGATATGTTGGGAAAGCACTCGGAGACCCAGTATACAGTATCATGATCAATATCATGAATATAGTGGGTACCCTGTGTCTCTTAAGGATGGTGGTAATACATGTTCAAAGTAACTTCATTATTCCTTTCGAGAGGAAAAGGAAGACACTGACAGGATGTGACTATAATGTGAACGAATAAGTATCATGAATGGTTAGAATGGACATCCACAGCTATTGTGCAGAGAGTTCAACTTTATAAGGGGCCCAAAGAGGAAAGATTAACCAATGACTGTGGTAACTTTTGGTTTTGAATTAGTGTGTGCGTGTGTGTGTGTGTGTGTGCATGCGTGTGTGTGTGTGTGTGTGTGTGTGTGTGTGTGTGTGTGTGTAGGAAAAATGCACTTGTCTAGGGGAAATTAGATCTTTCAGTAGGAAGTTGTACCGAGAAAGGAAACCATAAACTAGCCTGTATCAGTCAAGGAGATGAGCACACCACAACAGCATACAGGATGGATGAGTCAGGTGAACTGGGCTGTAATTAGATTTCACGGTCAGGTCATCAAATAGGAATCCAATTGCTTTTCAACAAGAAACAACTACACACTTTCCTCCTCAAATGATGACCTACATCAACTACATAGCCTTAGTCTTTCAAGTGTTTCTGATTTTGAAGGACTCTCTTTCCCCTAGTCCAGGCCTCCTTTCCAACTCTCTTGGAACCTTTAGAGACTTGATATTTTTCCAAGCAAAACCAAAGAAAGCAAACCAAAAAAATTCCAGGGTAAGACACTTAAAGATAGAGAGAATGAGGAATACCAAATTCAGGACAGCAGTTCATTTCAGCAGGGGCATATGTGTGTTTTGAGGAGGTAGGAGGAAAGGGAGGGGCAAAGTATGTAAGTAACTTCAACTATAACATTCTATTTCTTGAACTGGGTGTTGGTACAATGGTGTTTGTCATGCCAAGGTATTGGAAATATTTCATAATTTTCAAGAAGACATGTCTAAAAGGAAAGAGAGAGGAACAGAACAATCATTTTATCTATGTTCCTACTTCTACCTGTGAAAAGATGAGTCCTTCCTAATTACACTAATTTAAAATTTTTTTTTAATGTTTTATTTATTTTTGACAGAGAGAGAGAAAGAGATGGAGCATGAGTGGGGGAGGGTCAGAGAGAGGGAGACACAGAATCCGAAGCAGGCTCCAGGCTCTGAGCCGTCAGCCCAGAGCCCGATGCTGGGGCTCAAACTCACAGACCGCGAGATCATGACCTGAGCCGAAGTCGGACGCTCAACCGACGGAGCCACCCAGGTGCCCCAAATACTAATTTTATTATAAACTGAAAAACTGTTCACAAGCAAGATGGTGCCTGCTATCATCTTTGAAGTTAGTGCTCATAAGTCAAATTCATTTTTCTAGCAAATGTTCAAATCACACACGTATGAAGCTGGGTCAACTTCAGCGATTCCATCCATGGGTGTGACTCTCGTTGCACTGAACCCCTGATGTGCAGCTGCCTTTCCTGTTTGGTTACTCCTGTGACATCATACATGTTTACGTGACACACCATAAAGAGAGGTCATCACCCTTAAATGCTCAGTCAGCTCGTTCAGTTGTGATAGTGTATTGGTTATCCCAGGCTTCCTCGGTCCTCCTTCCTCCTCGACTAGTCCTGCCCCATTTCTCCTCTCTCTTGGCCCCTGTACTTCTTATTTCCTACCCAACCATGATTACAGGAAGAGAAAAGATGAAAGCCATGCGTCATCTTTTTAATAAAAGGTGTGAATGGCTACAAGACAGAAATGAGATGGGAAAGCTTTAATCTAATTGTTAGAATTGGACCTGCAAATTATCTGTGTATTTCGCGTTTCCCACTTGGGAATTTGTCCAAAACGGAGGCTGACTAGCATTATACTGAGGCATGGCAAGCTTGGCGTCGTAATGCCTGAATTGAATTGAAATCCCCGCTCTGCTGCCTCCTGGCTACATGATCTTGTGCAAGTTATTTAACCTCCCTGTAAAATTTGGATACTAATAGCGCCTACTTTTTCGAAGTTGAAATAAAGGTTGCTTGGAATAATGCACGAACACACGTAGCACAGCATAATCCCTAGTACACAGTAATTGCTCAATAAATGTTGGCGATCATTACGTTCATTGATTTTAATTTTTCTCCCTGCCCTTTTGGCATCGAGGATGGCCTATATCCAGGAAAAACCAGCTTCCAGGCAAAAAAAAAAAAAAAAAGTCCTTTCTGGTAAAAGTGGCCTCCATACCTGGGGGGGAAGTTTTTTTCCTGAAAGCCGTGATTTCTTCCACCTACTCCCATCTCCCTATTCTCCTCAGGTTGTTTTAACAGCAGATGCAAGGAATCTGCCTATGGAAGGAGACAGGTTGCTAAGCTGGCTGGCAGCCTGTTTTGTTTTCATTTCTTAATATTCATTGCCACCTTTCAGGCACAGCCAAAAGAGATCAGAGACCCAAATGACAGCATGCATGTTCCCTCCTTTGAGGCCATCCAGTCACTTTTTCCTCAGGAAAGGGACCCCCTTGGGAGAGAAAACGGCTTCACGCCCCCCAGAAATAAATGAGGTCAAGAAGCTCATTGCCAAACAGTGGGGCAAGGGTGTCTCAGCTCCAGCACCCCTGGGCTCAGTCACCTTTTCCAGCAGTCCTGAGGACAGGGACTAGTAGTAAGAGCTGCTAGGAAAAGGCTTGAGAGCAAAAGTGCTAGCGAACAACTAGAAAAGCTACTAACAAAACTGGCCACAGTGGATCTTAACTTGGAGAATTCAGGGGAATACTTGCCCCACCAGTGAAGGAAGGCAGCTCTAGATAGAAAACCAAGTTTCAAACAGACATAGAAAAGCATACCGCCTGTCTGTGTTTCTTTACAGTCAAATTTTAAAATAGTATCTTTTGCCTACTCCCTCCCGGCCAACTCTCCTCTTCCAGTCTCAGCCCAAAGGAGTCTTCTCCTTCCAGCCCTCCTATTTCTTTTTCTTTTTCTTCCTCCCCCCCCTTTTTTTTAAAGGGCTCTTTATTGGCTCTAACCGGGGAAGGGGAGGGCAAGAGATGATTGGCTACGGAGCGGAGGGAAGGGGGGGGGAGGCGTCCCGCCCATTCCCCTCCCACACCCTCCCTCCCGAAACAGCTGGAATGAGAAGTAGGGAGGGAAAGCTGCTGGGATTGGCTGTGAGTCAGTGGCAGGGTGGGGTGGGGTAGCACTGATGAAGCATTTACCTGTCCAGGTAAGTCTGGAGGAGGTCAAAAGAAGAAAACAGTGGAAGGCAGGGGAGGCAGTCTCTGTCTCCGTCTCTGCCCTTTGAAATAAAAGGGTCTTCCTTTCTTCTCTTCAGCCCCTCCTCCAGTGAAGGTGAGTTAATCACTAACCAACTATTGCTTATTCTGCAGCAAGAAGGGGTGCTTCGTGGGAAGTCAGGGCCACAGGATGTGCGGAACCCTGTATAGAGGGAAGCTAGGGGGCTTCCCTCTCTGTTCCTTAACTCTCTGAGCCCACTCTGCAATCACAGTAGGCTGGTAGCTTCTGCAGATGGGACTGTTTTTGGGAGAGACCAGGGCTCGGATGCATTTTTTTTTTTTTTGTTTCCATCTGCCTGTTTAGGTTGGATAAGCATATTTTGCAGACGACAAGGAAATAAAATGGGTTTGTTTTGCAGATTTCCATCTCTGACCAACTGAAATTGAGCTGTGATTTTGGAAAGGAATAGTTGGGAGCACAGGGAGTCAAAATGGGGGATCACCCAGGGGAGAAGAGTGCCATGGTTTCTCCGTTGCCTTTATAACAGGAAATTTGCCCATGGTTCTATCAACTCAGTGTCTATAATTCAATAAAGGGTGCTGTGTGTGTGTGTGTGTGTGTGTGTGTGTGTGTGTGCAATAATGGTAGCGTGGTAATGGACCTCTCTGTGGACGTGTGTAAAGGCGTGAGCTGCGTTCGGCTGTGTGTAAGGGGATGTGAGGCTGGGAAAACTCCACCTCGGACTACCAGTTCGCCTTTGGAAAACCCATGAATAACCTGGTTGCAAAACGGAGTCTCTTTGGATTCGACTCAATTTTCCGACTTTGCCTGCTGTTAGACACAGAGACTGACAAACACAAAGCTCCTCACCCGCTGTGCCGGGGCCTCACCCACATTAATAATATTTCACAGTAGTACCTCAAGCTGGACGGGAGTTCTCCGGGGGGCTCAGGCCAGAGTAGTGTGGCTGAGTCCACAAAGAAGAGCCAGACCCCTACGGTGGTCCTCCTTCAGGTGACAGTCTGTGTGGCAGGCTCACCTGTAGAAGTCAGTTCAGAGTAGCTTTATCCACCTTGGGGAGGGGAGGGGGCTAACGTCCTGGTCCCTAACTTTGCCTCTTTTCCTCTTGCTGCAGGAAAGAGCAAAGTGGGGAGACCCCAGCACCAGGCTCCCAGGGCCTGGCACATACAAGCCCTGAGCAAATATAGTGGGTTTCCAGTCCTGGCAACCGGCGCTTGGTTTCAGCTTAGCCCACACCGCAGGACCAGCCCCCCAAACTCATTGACTGAGGGCTGCCGCAGATGGTGAACTTGTCGGTGACAAGATAGCCTGTAAGTGTCAGACAGAGCTCTTCTGTGCAGAAGATATTTCGACCCACCTTTTCCTGAAACCCATTTGTGAAATAGGAGATTCTAGCGTTGACTAAACACACTCGGAAACTTGCCCGTGTGCTCACGGAGAAGGACGTACACACAGGGCAGCTTTTAGTCCTTCCTGGTGTTTTTCTTAGGATGTTCCTCAGCCCGAGGCATATTTCTGGATAGTCGGCAAAAAGGAGAGATACTTGTTCTGAAAGAAATAGGTAATCTTGGGGCGCCTGGGTGGCTCCGTCGGTTAAGCGTCCGACTTCGGCTCAGGTCATGATCTCACAGTCTGTGAGTTCGAGCCCCGCGTCGGGCTCTGAGCCTGCTTCCGATTCTGTGTCTCCCTCTTTCTCTGGGGCGCCCCCCGCTGACGCTCTGTCTCTCTCCCTCTCTCAAAAATAAATAAACGTTAAAAAATAATTAAAAAAAAAAAAAAAGAAATAGGAAATCTCTTTGACCAGTGGGGAGAGAGGTTGAGCTCTTGGAGGATACGGAGCTGGGCTCACGGGAGGAGGGTGGCAAGGGGGCCTTGGGTCTGCTTAGAAGGTACAGAGAAGCCAAACAGGAAGGGGGCTGGAGCCCGGCCCCTGCCCCATGCCGGAACTCCAAGTGCTATTTATTTACTCTCCTCCAAGACTTGGCCGGTTTCAGTGGAGCAGTTAATATTTAACACGCTTTTGCCTGAGTGGCCCTGACTATAGGCTGTGCATACGTCCTTCACCCATTTCCTCCTCTTCTCAGATCCCCCAAAGAGGTCAAGGGTCAAAAGATACCAAACTCTCACCCTGAGCGTTTTGCTTGTTTCTCAGGCTTCTTATCGGGTCGAAATACCTCAAGTTTCGATGGCTGCCCTGAAAGAGCCCCCACGTTTCAAGGTTGTAAAGTTGGTGGATAGAAATGCAGCATCCAGGTCAGGCCAGAGCGCTGAGAGAGGGAGTGGAAGGGGGAGAAGAAGAGAAGACTCTTACAGTCCATGTTCTTTGGATCAGAAAACTAGGTGCGGAGCCGGGATGCAAGCACTCATCCGACTTTGCTTTCAGGCTCAGATTCACCTCTGCGGTGATGACGCAGTGCCCGACGCCACGATCTCCAGGGGCATTTGGTGGCGTGTGTTTACTCTGGAAACATCTGTTGTTGGGGCAGAAAGCTTGCCTGGAAGCACAAAGCTGAACCAGATAATTTAGAGGGTTTCAGGTGTGAAGTAAAAGCAGAAAGGTGGTCTTAGGGCTTTTAGTGTTTAGTCAGGGGAAGCCAATGGCCCTTCTTCAGGTACAACGTGGCCCTCTTGGCATCTCCGAGATGCCTTCTAGAGGGACCGGGATCCACAGGCTGCCCTGTATATGCAGTTGTAGGTCATTCGCTACTTCCCTTAGGAGGCACCAGTAGAAAGAGACCCAGATTTGTCATCTGCCAAAGAAGAAAATACCGCATGTTGCCTAAGTTATCGGGCTATTTGGAAGATCTAATAGGCATATCTGAAAGTGTAAGCTAGACCGTGTTTTTGTTTTGTTTTGTTTTTGAAGCAGTGCCATTCATATTGCTTCTCTCCCTCCCAGCTACTGTAGGCTATCCTTAGTTCCAAAATGAAAGTGTGATGGGTTGCCCTGGGAGGAAGGAGAGGCTAGCAATCCATCATAAAGTCTGAAGAGTACTTGGAAGAACAGGGTGGTAATTGTCTTTGAAAGGCAGAGGCATCATCTGGTCACCCGTTCACAGAGAACATCAGATTAACTACAGTGATTAATACAGTACTAATATTTATTGCTCCGATGTTGATAAAACTGGAGCCCAAACCTAGACCCTTGGATTTACACCGACTGCTTGGAAGCAATGCCTTTGTCTTATAAAGTGTTGCTTGCCCCATCCCTGTTAGGTGCTCATGAATGTTAGTTTAGCTGAAGGCATTGCCCAAATTCCACTGAGTTGTATATTCTCAGGGAAATACACTACTTAAGAAAGAGTCTGTAATAATAGAGCAAAAACAACAACAACAAAAGTGGTCTTCCAACAGCTTAACTCAACAGATGCTAGAACAGATGGCAAGTTTATTCATCCAGCATTTTTCGAGTGCCTTCTGTGTGCCTAAGCTTATGAGAAATGGATCTCTTTTGCTATAATGGCCTCAGCCCTACAGAATGTTAGGGATGAGTTAGCATCCTCTGAATCTAAGCCGTCATGAATGGAATGGATAGCTGAGGAGACTGAACTTCATCCACGTGACTCCTCATGTTTCTGTCTTTGGGGTTCTGGGTATTGGGAAAGAAACGTCACGAAGAAGACTGAAGAGCTATCTTACCCAATGCTGGTTTATCACTGGGCTCCTTTGGTGTGTCTGTCCCCTGTGGTCCTGACCCTATCTCCTGAGAGGCTCTGGACCCTTATGAACTCCATGTGTCTGGCTCATTGGGATTTTTTCCTCTTCTTTCCCCGTTGTCCTGCCCCTCCCTACCTGCCCCATTTGCAGACCTTCCCCCCAAATCGGCCTTGTGCTGGTCAGCTCTACAGCATTGGCGGCTGACTCACCCAGCACAGCCCAAACCTGACTTGGCAGTGGAAGAAGTTATGGGTAGAGGCCAAAGAGACAACCTCCCTGGAATCCAAACCCCGGGTCCCAAGATCTCCAATTGAACACATTTTTTTCTATGACATTTTACTTAGTAAAGGGGGAGAGGGGTGGGGAGTAGGAAAGGTGATAGAAAATATAAAATGGTGTCACAGGAAAAATATAGATTCTAATCCTAGCTCTCTCCAAACTCCCTATCTGACCTTGGAACTGGCTTTTAAACTTAATTTTTCCAGAATTTTATTTCAACATAGGAGAGCCCCATCTGGCCTTTCCAGACTTTGTGGTTTTCAGAAGGAAAATGGTACCGCCTTCCTTTGCTCTTACTATTGGCAGAGTGAATTTGAAACTCTTTTTCCCTATGAGTTGGAGTTGGGAGGAAGCTACGCAGGCCATTTCTCTCGTTTATTTGACAAAGATTAGGGAAACTTGCTGAAAATAAGTGCAGCCTCAGAGTGGGTGGTACACAAGAGGGAAACTGGGTTTGTCTCAACCTGTGTGAATTACGTAGGAGGCTCCCAGACCACGGAGATGATGGTGGCCCTGGTGGCGGGAGCTGTTGATGATATTGGCTACGACAGCAGCTAACAGTTACTGCACAGTGTTTTACGTGAAGTATCTCAGTATATGTCCGTGACAACCCTATGCGGTTGGTGTGGTGGTGTCGTTGAGGGCCCTGTTCCTTCCCCCCCACGTAACCCAAACCCTTCTTTTCTAAACTCTTGTTCCCTTACGTCAGTTTACTTTGATCCTCGAAGGACCTTGTCTTTTTCTTATGACAAGAACAGTAGCAGTTAGTCCTTTATTCGTCGAGCATTTACTTCCAACTAAGCTGTGCAAACTGTTCTCATGTAATCCTTGCGTTAACCCTACCTAATGAGAAAAACCGAGTCAAAGAGTAATTTGCCTCAAGTCACATAACTGTAAATGCAAGCGGGATTTGAATCCAGATCTGACTTCCTCCAGAACCCACGTTATGAACCCCTTCCTATTTATTGCTTGTGGTCCTGGAAATGTAGCCTAAGCTCCCCGACGCAGAGAAAAAAAGCACCTAAGACAAGTGTGGAGTTCCCTCTCTGGCTAGACTGCTTCTGCACCTGCTGAGCCCGTCCTCCTGCATGTGTGTGAGCCCGCTTCTGCGTCCTTCCACGCAGGCGGGGAGGTGTGGGGAACCGCCGTGCACGGCCCCTTCCAGCTCTCTGCTTGCTTGGTGTCCCTGCCGCCGCGCCCCGGGGGCTTGGGCAGGGCCTGGCCCGGAGAGCCTCCGCTCGGCTCACACGTGGCTTTGATTCTTGTCTTTTCAGGCCGGCTTGGGACATTCTTCACTTCCCTTCACTTCCCCTCTGGGAGCCCCTCTCACCGCCCCTGCACCTTGCTTCAGGCGATGCCCAGGAGCGAGCTGTGGCCAGCGGGGCCTGGCTCGGAACCCGTGACCCGCATCGGCAGCTGCGACAGCATCATGAGCACCGTGTCCACCCGCTCTGGATCTGTACGTACTCTCCGCCCTGCAGCCCGCCCCCCCTGCTTCTGTCTGCACGCCCGCCCCGCCCCGCCCTGCCCACCGCCCGCCTGGCTGCTCCTTCGCTTTCATCTTCCTTGTCAGAGAGTGAATCACACCGGTTGGTATTTCTGCCTTTGAGTCACCCAGGTTCTCGAGAGAAAGGGTGGGACAGTCCCAAAGCGCAATGAGATGAGACTTGCTCCCAGCTTTCATTCACGGGGTGGGGGGTGGGGGGGCTAAGTTGAGGTGAGAGCAAGGGCCAGTGATCTGAGGTCCTGGTGGAAAGCAGAGGGTAGATCACCATAGCACTCACATTCCTGAAGCCTCCCTGCAGCCAGCAGGGTGCCTTCAATCTTTTACCAAGATCACAGAGGACAGAGTAATTAGGAGCCTGGGTTCTGGAGCCAAGCCGGTCTGAGTTCTCGATCTATAAGCTCTATGGCCTTGGGCAAATTATTGAATTTCTGTAACCTTCAGTCTCCTCCGTTTTAAGGTGGGATATAAGGTAAACACCGAATCCTCGGGGAGGGGGGTGGCGGTTAACGAGATGCATGTGAAACACAAAACACTCAGCACACGCCTCTAAGTAGAAAAGAAATAGCCTTATCCAGGAGCATCGATTCAGAATCGCCCAAAGTCATCGTGTTTAACTGTTTGTGAGTGGCAGGTAACAAATTGTAATTTTTCTGGGGATGAATTCAAGTCAAGGTTGTTGTAAGGCTGGTGCGAAAGAGTAAATCTGCCCTACGTCCAAATGGAAACATTCCTTTGCTGTTGGTGTTCGTTGCATAGCTAATAACCCTTGAGAATGTATACTTTATTGCTCTATATCCTACAGAGGTACTTGAAAATTTAAGGATGCTGAGGATCTCTACCAAATGTCAAGGACTTTTAATACAGCCAGTGAGTTTTGATATGTGAAAATGGAGTAGAGAAAGCAGTGCGCACACACACACACACACACACACACACACACACACACACGTACACACACAATCCAAAGCGTGGGCAGTCCGTGTATAATTTCTTGTTGACCTGAGATGGTGGGACCACAGAGACATCTTTCTGTTTCTGTTAGGCTGAGGCCAATACGAGCAGTTACATAACACTGGACACAGAGTGTGGCAGGGATTAAAGATCTGCAAGGTGAATCCTCCACAAAGGAGAAATTCAGAGTTGGTTTATCTTTGGCAAAGCTATTTTGGGAAGAAGAGGGCCGTAAAGAAGATTTTGTTCAGGGAACCCCTGGAATCAGCTTCAGGGCTTCCACGGGCTACATTTGTAGCTTCCTTTGACAGGTCGGCCTGCCAGATGGCCCTTTAAGGAGTCAGGGGAACTGGTGGGGTTATTCCAACAACCATCTCCTAGGGTATTTTTAGGGCTGTCTCAAATCTTTCCTGGCCATCTGAGTGGGTCTGGAGAATATATAACTCTGAAGTATCTTAAATATTAGGAAGAGGGATGAGATAGATGCCAGGAAGGAACTCGGGCCAAATTTCTTACATTTCCATTTGCCCTTTTGGTTTTCCCTTCAACCTTCAACTTTAGAGAGCAACTATCCTATGGATCTTCCTGGCCTTGCTGACCGTGGGCAGCAACCATTTAAAAGGGCCGTAACACTTTTCCCCAAATACCCCTGTGTGCTTTTTCATCATGACGGTTATTTACTTTAATATCTACTTGATATTTCACACTAAGTTCCTTTCCCCTCCTCCCATACCCGTCCGGTTTCTCCACCCTACCCGCCTCTAGTTAATATTTGCTTAAGAAATGCACACTTATTTGAATGTTAGCCAGAGCCAAATGCCATCAAGAAAGTAAATACACAAAGGAAAAAAAAATCCTGTATGGAATGCATTTCAAAGTCAAGTGTAAATTATTTGGTAAATTTATCTGTGGCTACTCATACCACTGTTGCCATTGGCCTGATAGCCAGTGGCTGGCTGCGTTTCTTGTTTGTCCTTATACTGTCCTTGACATACCAGATCAAGTGTGCAAAAGTACTCTGACAAGTTAATACCATTGAAGTTTAAGGTCAAGTCATTATGTTACCCATGTAATTCGGAGCTAAATCGGAGACACGTAGAGGGATATGCTTATGCCAGTCACACACAGGAACTGGAATCAGAACCCGGGACTGCTTCTGATCTGTTCCCCTAAGCATCCCACCCAGGACTGGGTGGAAAAGGCAGCTGCCATCTGCCTGCCCAGCACTGGGTGCTGGTGGGCCCACAGCCGCCAGTCTCCTCCCCGTCCGGTGCCCGCGGTTTCTCAGGAGACAGACAACTCCCGCAAACTTGCGGAGTCGCCTCCTGGAAAGGTTTCCAGCCCTTCAGCATTCCTTCCGGACACGGGGTGCTTCTCAGCCCCACCAGTTTCTGCGGAGCTCCCTCTCACAGCTCCCTCTCTCCCTCTCTCTCTGTCCTCCACGCCTCATTCCAGAGTGACGGCAGCTACGACTTCCTGTCCGCAGAAGAGAAGGAGTGTCTGCTCTTCCTGGAGGAGACCATCGGCTCACTGGACACTGAGGCTGACAGCGGACTGTCCACTGACGAGTCTGAACAGGACACAGCTCCCCGCGGCCCCCGAGCCCTGCCCGTCACCCAGCCTGCTCCTCAGGGTAAGAGAGACCATCTGGGGTGGCACCGCTAACAAACCCAGAAAGCCAGGACATTCTTGTGGCTGCTTTGCACCCTGTTTGCCCTCTCCTCTGAAGGTCATTGGCAGAAGGAACGATAGCACTCCTCTCCACGCCCCTGGCTAGAAATAAGCCATGTCCCGCAGAAGAGAGACTGCGGACAAGCCGGCGTCCTCTGTCTTTCTCTGAAGTCTCAGAGGCCTGGGAGGGAAAAGGGTTTGACTAGCTCTCATTCTCTCGCAGAAATGCTGAAGAGACATGACCGCAGAAGTTCATGGGAGGGGTTCAGGGAAGGGTGGATGGTTGCTCTGGGGACACGAAGTGAGTCTGGAGAGCTAATCTGGATGCTCCAGGAGGATGAGGCTGCAAGAGATAAGGGGGAAGGGCCCCCTGAACTTCAGCGGGTGACACCTCGAGGCTCTTGTGAGAGGGGGTGGAAAGCCAGTGGTGTTGAGGCTCAGTAGAAGGGGGACAGGATGGCACATGAGTGTGGCCATGAGGGTGGGGCCATATGTCCCAGAGTGAGGGGGGCACTTTACTCCCGAAGACAGCCCCACTGCTATCGGGATTGCAATCATTGATTTATTCGTTTAGCAAATATTTACTGACAGTGTGTTAGAACCTCCATGGAGATAGAGGCGTAACTGGGGACAAAGGCTTTACTGCTCCCTGAGACTGATTCCCTGGTCCGTGGGCCTAATGCACCTGCTGGAAGGAAAGATCCCATGTCGCTCATTCTTGTGGGGACGGCTGTGGCCATTCCAGAGCCATTCACGTGTTTATAGAAAGTGAAGGTGGAGGAAGGCAGAAGTCTGGTCGAATCAAGAGCAAATCCACTGTTCATGCTATTCTCTGCTGCTGGACTCAGTTGCTTGGGAGCCCCGAGATAGCTAGAGGGAATCTCTCCCCCACCCTGGTGCTTCTGTAGAAGCTTAGAAGGAGCCCGAGTCAAGGACCTGGAGTTATGTGAGGCTGCCCTTTCCCCAACCATCGTGAAAAAGTAATCCTAGGTTGAAGGGAACCTGCTCAGATCAATCTGTCAGTGTGAATGATAGCCATGCAACAGGGCGGCTCCTTTAAGAGCAAAGAATCAACCCAAAACAAAACCCACTGCTAAGTGGAGACCAGAGTTCGGGAGGTATTAGCTTTGCCCCGGGGCAGCAGGGTTCTCACCTCTGTCTACTCTTCTTTGCCCGTTCTCCTGGGCCCTCACAGGATATCCAGGGGAGAAGATCGTCCCACAAGGACCGGAGCCAAGGACAGGGACTCAGTCCAGCTCACCCCATCTTCCTGAACCCGAAGGCCTGGGCCTCAGGTCTGGCTCCCATAGCCTCCCCAGAAATATCCACATCGGCAGGAAGCGGAACCCCGGGGAAAGCACCACTCAGACGAATAGCCACATCCCGGGGGAACCTGAGGGGCTTGTCCCAGAGCCCAAGAGAGAGCAGGCCGGCCAAAACGGTGAGCTCAGCCAGGCTCCGGCCGGCCCCCCGACGCCTGCCCTTGGGTTGGACACAGTACCCATCCCCCCACCAGAGGCCTTTCAGGACAGCCAGCCAGAGCAGCGTGGGGAAGGCGGCCTGGGCGTCCCCAGGCCAGGGCTGCAGAGCCATACGCCCCGGCTCCATTCGTCACTCAGCCCCCAGGAGAGGAAGGAGACTCCTTCAGCGGCCATGTCCCAAAAAGCCAGTGAGAAGGGCTCAACAGGGGGACCGGGGCAGCCTCAGCCTCCTCCCGCCGCGTCATCGCAGAGTGCGAGAGCCAGAGATGCTCCCACCCCGTCAGGGGGGGACCCCAGTGCCCGGCCAGCGCCCTTCACAGCTCCCAAGCCCCGGAAGCTGCCACCCAATATCGTTCTCAAGAGCAGCCGAAGCAGTTTGCACAGTGAGCCCCACCACTGGTTGTCTCGCCACTCAGAGGCCACCGCGGGAGACTCCGGCCTGGCCTCCTCCTCGCTGCAGGAGCAGAAGAAAGCGCGCCGGGAGGCCCTGGAGAAGCTGGGGCTCCCCCAGGACCAGGATGAACCTGGCCCCCACTTAAGTAAACGCACCAGCTCCACCCGATTCAAGGAGACCCATGCCCAGGCCTCCTTCCAGGCTCTGGCTCCGGCCCCAGCCCCGGCCCCGGCCCCGGCTCAGCCGACGCGGCCTGCTCAGGGCACAGCCGCTGCGCCTGCCGGAGGGAAGGCTCCGGCTCCCGCTCCCACTCGGGGACCTTCTCCAGCGAAGCCTCCGGCTCCGACTCCAGCTCAGGGTTCTTCTCCAGACAAGGGGTTGATTCCTGCCCGGGAGCCCACTGCAGGCAAGGTTCCAGCTGCCAAATCCATGCCGATTCCTATCCCCAAAGCCCCCGGGGCAGGTGGTCCTCTGGCTCAGGCAAAGGCGGACTCGGGGCTGACTCTCCAGGAGAGCAACGTCCCTGGCCTGAGACAGATGAGCTTCAAGTCCAACACTCTGGAGCGTTCGGGTGTGGGGCTGAGCAGCTACCTCTCGGCCGAGAAAGACCCCAGTCCCCAAACCAGCACCTCTCTGGGTAAGGGCTCCTTCTTGGACAAGATGTCTCCCAGCGTCTTGCGTAACTCAAGGCCCCGGCCTGCCTCCCTGGGCACAGGGAAGGACTTCGCCGGGATCCAGGTGGGCAAATTGGCTGACCTGGAGCAGGAGCAGAGCACCAAGCGCCTGTCCTTCCAAGGACAGAGCCGCGACAAGCTGCCTCGACCCCCCTGTGTCAGTGTCAAGATCTCCCCAAAAGGAGTCCCGGATGAGCACCGAAGGGAGGCTCTGAGGAAGCTGGGACTGTTGAAGGAGTAGTCACTGGCCACCAGCATGGCCCCGCCATCCCTGTCTCACCCTCTGCCATACAGGAGGCTCAGGTCCTCTTCCACCCAACAGCCCGGGGCTCGGACAAAGTGGGCTTCTCTCCAGCGCGCACCTCTCTCTGAGGCGAAGGGGTGGAAGAGACTGGATTCCAGTGGACGCGCGTGTTTATATTCAGAGCGGTTGTGTCACTGAGTACCTGCCCAAATCATCCTGAAGATGATTTCCACAAGACGGGGTGTGTGTGTGTGTGTGTGTGTGTGTCCATGTACTATAGGCTGTATATATCATTGAAGCTATTTATATGACACAAGGAGTCATTGCTCAGAGTTCTGCTTGTGTTGGAGATTTTCTTCCACTGGGTAGGGTTCAGCCCAGCCAGAACTAAGGGGAGAAGGGGGGGGCGCTGAGTCTGAGGAATAAAAGGTCAGCTGAGACAATGGATGTGCTGGGGACATTAGGCAAATGCAGTGTCATGTGAAATGTGGGTCTCCCAGAATCCCTGCATGGAAGGGGACTGGCTCGTCCCTTGGTTCTGGACTTCTGGACACCCCGGTCCCAAGGTTAGGGCGCGTCCCTGTAGCTAAATCTGTCCATTGACTGAGAACAGAAGTGCTCTGGTTGGCCTGCGAAGGCAAGATGGGTGACCGCACAGCACACGGCCACTGGGAAGGACCCCTGTCCACGGGCTTGATGCATTTATAATAATAAACCGTGCGGTGGCCCCTGCCGGGGACATTCCTATTCTTCCGCTCCCACTCTCAGCCTGCATGTGACTGACCCCAGGGCCGGGCCAACAGTGAGATGGGGGTCTGAGCCCAGAGACTTTATAAATACCAAAGAACTGTTTGAGGCCTTACCTATGCTACTGCGCATAGATTTTTTTCAGTTTCTATGGGAAGGCAACACCATACATTCTCTGCTCGTTACTCACAGAATATCAGAGCTGGGAGGAATCTTAGAGACAAGACTCTTGTGACCCACGCTGTTGGGGAAGGGAAGGGAGTCATCTGCGGTCACTCTGCCATTCAGTGACAGAGCCGGGACCCTGGCTCCTCATTCCATGCTGCACGCTGCCTCCCTGAAGCAGTGCTTCTGTACGTCTACACAGCACCCTGTGGATCAGGAGTCACCATCAAAGGCTCAACCCCAAAGCCTAGAGAGATTAAATGTTGTTCAAGACCATCTTGAGTGTTGTTTTTTCTACCGTGTCTTCGGAAAGTAGCAATATAGTAACTCATTTATTAATCCAAATTCCCTGACCGCTTTGTACAGCTTGAGAAAATGCCAAAAGGAGGTACTATGAGTAGGCGTCGTAGGCTTGTGGATACAGGCTTGGAAATTAGACACAGCTAGACATGACCCCTGCTTCCCCTAAGGAAATAAATATTATTCGTGGCTGTGGTTGGAGTCTAGGATCCCCAGATGGGAGGAGCAGATAAAGGGAACTGTTGTTGGAAAGGTGCCCTTGAGGTCTGCTGAGAATTTCTGGACTGTGTCCTTAGGGACCCAGCACTGTCAAAGCATGGTATTTCTAAAAATGATGAAAAGATTAAGGTGAGGACAACAAATGGCTCCACCCTGTCATGGTATGTGGGACGTGGGTGTGACAGTTTCTGTATATACTCTCATGCACACACCCAAAACCTTGGTGCCTTCCTGGCCCTGGTAAAGACCTGGTCTGTTGGAGCTGATAGGGACTCCCACAACTGGCCAAGCCATACATTATTACAGACTCTTCTGAAGAGAGAGGGCCCTTCCTGGAGGACTGGTTTGACATGCTATGTTTGGTTGAGCTGCCTCATACGTGTATTTCAAGACAACCTGGGAATGACCACTTAATTTTTTTCAATTTTCCTAATGAATAGAGATACTTGGTGCTACCTATAAAGTAAGACTTGGTAGGAAACTGAGGCCTTCGTGTCAACACAAGGATGATCAACACAGGTGGGTCAGGAGTACCTCCTCTTACATCCTCACCCCTGGTAGAGGCGACGTCTCTCGAACAAAACATGGTTACACACAGCTTGCCTTCCCTCCCTGAACCCTTATCTAGTGACGTGCCCATTTTCCCTGCAACTCCCTCCTGGCTTCCCCGTGTCCTTGCCCTTCCAAGGGCACGTCTTGCTCTTAGGACGGTCTTTGGGATCCAAGTACTAGGATAAAAAACCCAAACCCATCTGTCCTCATTTTGAAGAGGGGCAAAGGAACCCATCTGGGGACATCTGCCATCCTGAAGTTGGCCCTAGAGCTACCTGAGGAATTTTATCTACCCTCTGACGTCCATATAGGATTGGTCTTCATCGAGCTTGAGCTGGAGGTAAGAGTGGGGTCACTGCTGTTGTTATCCCTCTATCCCTTTTTGAAAGATGTCGGATGGGTGTTTGTAAAGGCCACTCGTTTGATTTTAAAAACCCATGTGACAGTTCTCCTTCCGCTTGGCCTCGTAACTCTGTCGTACCCTGCCGCGATCTTACTGCTACTAGGAATGAGCTATCTGCCAAATACAGGAGCTGGCTTTGCCTCCGCCTGGCACAGTGGGACAGGTGCCTTAAGTGTGTCGACAGCTGCTCCTCTGAATCACCACTCACGTGCGTCCCTGGGCGCCCTGTACTCCGACCCGATGTGGAAGGGCTGTGTGCTACCCGGGATGGGCCCACTCGCCTCGTAGGTGCTTCCCTCCATAGTGGGAAGTATGGTCTGGAAGAGGCCACCCTGCACCCTGACGTTGCACAGGTGTGCAAAAGTGGGTGTTAATTCCACGGAAGAAAGAGCAGATGAATGAGTGGCGAGCAGGCCCTACTTGATGTTATGAGTTAAAGCTGGAGGTGGGATTTAAGAGTCTGCAATATGTGTGTGTGAGGTAAAGCACTCCATTCCTTGATCCATGATCATATGTGTAGGGAGACGAGGATCATCCTGTCAGAGCATGAAGCTCATAGACTAGAGGAGGTGGTGACCAGGGGACAGGCAGGAGAAATCATGTCTCAGAATCTGAGGAGGAATGGAGCCACAATGCGCCCATGCTCTTTTCTTCATGTGACTGACTATAGAGCGTATATAGGTCAGGCTCAATTGGACAGCCATCGCTTACCAATCAGGGAACCCTGAGCTGTTCTTATCTGTAAAGTGGGGATAATAATACCATCCTTTCAACATTGCTGAGATGAACAAGTGATATGAAATATGTAAAACTCAGTGCTTAACATAGTGTAGCTACTCGACAAATGATAGTATGGTCTTCGGCGTCTTATTTCTTCCTTCTCAAAGGGAGCAAATGGAGGCAGGGATGGAAGCCAAGAGCTCGCCCGACTCAGCTCCGAGAGGAAATGGGAGCGATCTTGCTGCAAGTGAAAGTCCAAAGTACCGACTAGGCTTTGGCACACCCTCCAGGTGATTCAACTTCACCCACGCCAGGTTTCCTGGAATTGGAAAAGAAAGGGATCGGCATGAATATGGTGTTTGTGTCTCAGGGAAGCCAGCTTCTCTATCTCCAAACCCAGTTTCCAATTTGTCACCAATGTCTTGTCGCCCATGGTCATATAGTTGACTTCTTTTTGCTCCCTCCAACTTCCTTTTGCTGTGTGGTTCAGTGACCTATATGCTGTTCTATAGTTATTCATTTTTAAAATGGAGAAAAAGAATAAACCTATATAACAGAGGGGAATGATGGCTCAAATCTATTTGAGGTGGCTCAAATAGAGACTAGAAAATGTCTCAAGCATTTTCTAAATAAGGTAGGCATCTTTCAGAAATGAATCAGGCGTAAGTTGGCAGGAAACAAGAAGGTATATTGGATGACTCCCCAAATCCCTTCTAATATAAGGGCCCAGTGAATTGCAGGAGTCATTGCCATCGTCATCCTCATCACCACCACCATCATCATCATTGTCATCAGTGACCCTTGGCAGACAAGGGAGGTAAAAACAGGTGATGTTCTAGTTCCATTCCCTCTTGCTCATTGCCTATCTGGATCATTGTCCTTATTCAGCACTTGCCACGTATCCAGGGTTCAAAATAATTCAAAGCAGAATGGTATCCTGGCAAAGCCAGATGAGCTATAGTGAGTCACTGCATCTCACTCATAAAATGGGGAACTTGGACGGAACTATCTCTTAGATCCATGCCAGCTCTGAAACATATGTTAAAATGAGTCCAAGCAACTTAATTAGGAAGATAAACACCATGCCAAAAATAATCACAATATGGTCTAAGATAAAATATACCTCATAGAACCTAAGACCTGGAAGGAACGTTTTAGATTATCTAATCCAACCTCCCACTCAAAAAGGAATTATGTCTGTAAGTTGATATATAGTCAGAAAGATGGATGGATGGATGGGTGGATGGATGGATAGATGGATGGACAGACGGGTGATGGACAGATGGATGGATGGATGCGTGGATGGAAGAATAGGTGGATGGGTAGATGGGAGAAGGGAGGGGAGAGAAACATATCGTGGACAAGAGTGCAAGCTTATGAGTCAGGCTGCCAAGCACCCTGCACCTGTTTCCTTTTCGGTTTATTTTTGATTCCTTTAACTTCCTTTGTTGTGTGGTTCAGGGAACCAGGGAATGCTGGTTCAGGGAACGCGATCCTACAGTTACTTAGTTTGAACATGAAGTGTAAAAAAAAAAAAATATATATATATATATATATAATAAGAATGAACCTTGTAGAAGCAGTAATAATCCTTACCTTTTACAATAATTTTGAGAAATGATGCTCATTGAAAATAGAATCAAATGAGACAATACATATGAAACACACTTACCACATTGCTCAAAAAATGGAATCTATTAATATTATTATCATATACATATGTAATTCAGACACCAGTGGGTGCCCTTGAGGATTGGACTGATATCAGCCTACACTTAAATTCCTCAGCCCAGAACAGTCAAAAGCCCTCCTCCAGTTTCCAGAACCTCCTGCAGACAACCTGCTCATGTACCATCCTGTGTGCTCTCCATCTGGGGGTGTGGCTCCGGGGCCTCCCGGCGCTGCCCGCCCTCCTACTCCATGCACTGTGGCCTCGTTTCACCCTCACTGTCCCCACTCCCAGCAAATTAATCAGACCCAAGCCCGACCAGCCTCAAAGCCCAGGCTTTTAATCGATTCTCATAGGAAACCAAGTTACTTGAAGCATTTTTGTTGTTCTCTGACTTTTTAACCAAAGATTGGGGTAGGAGATATCAAGGGACCTAACACAAGGCACACGTCCGTTCTCACCTCCCATGTCACCCTTTCGATCCTCTTGTTCCCTCCTGGTGTGGGTGCTGTACGTAGGTCAACCAGGAAGCTCTCCCCGCCACACCCACGCTCAGAGCCCCTCATGATCTGAGCATCTGCCCCGAGACACTGTTCAAAAATTTTCTTATCCACGAACAGGGTTGTCTCCTTGAAATGAGCTCTGGAATGTTCTCTACCTCCTTACCTTCAGGCCTGAAAACGGAGAGGAAGAAAACACAAGATGACTTTTGGCATCTACACCTCCAACTGACCTGACCCCCGCTACACTCTCCCTAAGGAATCCCAGGGGCCTCCTTTCCATCGCTCCCTGCTGTGCCCATCTGCTTGAGAGGGTTGGTTCCCTCCCCCCTCCCTGTGACTCTCCCAACCCCCATGCCTCAGGCAGGGGCTCTGTAATAGCCAGGGTCCATGTAGGTCTTGTGAGCGGTGGGGATATGGTTTAGTTGAAGTTACTTCACATACAGGATCATTAGCATTTTAGGGTGACTTGAAATCAGGCACAATTGCAGCCTGAATCTTCTGCCGTCCCACCTCCACCTAGAGGGGCAGGCACTGCCCTGTGCCTCTGACCTCACCCGCTGGGAAGGCACAGTCCTCCTGTGGGCTGCTGCCCTGAGCCACCAGCCTCCTGCAAGAAGAGAGTTGAGTGACTCCCAAGGTTTTCTTTTTGGGGTTGTTCTTCTGCACCGGACCGGCACATCTTCCTGTAATATTTTGGTTTGCAATAAGAAATACACACTTGGTCTTCATTTCTGTGCCCGTTTCTGGCACTGGGCTCTTAACACCCTTGGGGTTTCCTGTGAAGAGGGAGAGAGGGATATCATCTGTTATATTAATGAGTGACTTTTGGAAAGCCCCTAGATCCGCTAAGGTGAGGGCTGGTCCCCAGAGGAACCAATCCAGAGATTAGAGGCTGGAACTGTCAATCCTAC